TAAGGTTCACAGTTTTTTATAAAAACATAAGACACATCAGAGTCTGAATTTTTTTCTTTCAATTGCTTGCAGGCCAACTTATTTCCCAGCAGAAAATTTGACAGAATATAAGTGGCCCCCAGATGATACTGGGGAGTACTATATGCTGCAAGAACAGGTCAGCGAGTATTTGGGAGTCACATCCTTCAAGAGGAAATATCCTGGTACATAACATGTCAATTTCATAGTATGCATGATTTTCAGTATGTTAACTATTCTAAAGAGTTTTTGTATATTATTGTTTTCAGAAATGGAGAGAAGAGATCTATCCCATAAAGAAAAACTATACCTGCGTGAACAAAACGTTATCACAGAGACACAGTGTACACTGGGTATTACTACTACTTTTATGTAATAACACAGTACTTTAGCTCCTTTGTGATGCACTGTTCTTTGTTATTTTCCTCCAGGTCTGACTGCTTTGCGGAGTGATGAGGTGATTGATCTTATGATTAAAGAATATCCCACTAAACACTCAGAGTACTCTGTAATACTGCAAGAGAAGGAGCGTCAGAGAATTGCTAAAGAGTACTCTGTAAGTACAGTACTCAAGGAATTAATAGGAGTTTCTTTTCAATTGGAATATTTTTATCTTTGTTTTGTTTTGTTTTATAGCAAATGCAGCAGCAAAATCCTCAGAAAGTTGAGGCTGGCAAAGTTCCAGAATACATAAAGAAAGCTGCGAAAAAAGCTGCAGAGTTCAACAGTAACTTCAACCGTGAACGAATGGAGGAAAGAAGAGCTTACTTTGACCTTCAGACACATGTATGTTTATAAGTGAATGAATGCCTTTCAAAGCCTTAAATTTGTCTAATGTTTAAAATTTTTCCATAGATTATTCAGGTCCCACAAGGCAGGTTCAAAGTCCTGGCTCCAGAGCTAACCAGAACTGGCCCTTATCCTGTGGCTCTCATCCCAGGACAGTTCCAAGAGTTCTATAAAAGGTAAAAATATTTATATTTATAATAAAGCATATACATTTGGTTAGCTTGAGTGCTTAATGGTCTCTTATTGACAGGTACTCTCCCAATGAGCTACGATACCTGCCATTAAACACTGCTTTGTTTGAGCCTCCTTTGGATCCAGACCTTCCTGCCCTTGATTCTGAGCCAGACTCCGATGATGCAGAGGATGGCAAAGATGATAGAAGGAAACACTCATCTGTGAGACTCCACACTCTTCTTTTAGTCAGTTTTCTGTAATTTTCGGTAGTGATGCCTTTTACACTTTTGATAATTCTTTCTCCAGGACAGCTCATCGGGCAACACTTCAGATGTGGAGAGCCAAGAGGGAGGTGGACCAAGGTCTAAGACCAAAGAAAAGGCACAAGGCAAAGACAGCCATCGACATTCGTCCTCCCACAAAGGAGGCTACAAGGTAGAGGACAAAAACAACTGAACTCTTCTCCAACAACAGCTGCAGCACTTTTCTACCCCTTTCTTACCCTACCACCCCTACTATACAGACACATCTTCCCTAATTTTTCTTACTTTCCTCTGGCTCCGCTAATAGCATTTTGGTTATGATAAATGGGAAAGTAGGGTGTTTTTAAAGCTTTATTTTATAATTTTCTTTACGACTGTGTGCAATAACATTTTAAAGGAACAGTCTCATTTTACTGCACTTTCATGTTTAGCACAACACTTTAATTTATCTTTTATTGTTTATAACATACCTCTTCTGTCTTTCAGTACTTGCATTCAAAAGCAGTGCTTTTGCTGCTCGTAATACTTCAGTATAGCAAATATATAAACAGAGCTATATAGTATATTCATATACATATAGACTACTTGTCGTAGTTGTTGAAAGGTTTCACAAATAACATTTTAAGTGGAGAGCACTTCATTGGTTTCATGTAAGAAATGTTTCTATTCTACTTGATGTGCTGTCATAAATTTGAAGTACATCAATAATATAACAATAATATATTTTGCTGTTTGCACAGTTGCTAAGCTGGACAACACTACACAACTTACAGCTTTGTTGAAATAACTTTGTTTCAGACTTTTTGCAACTCTTGTTTTGAGCAGTTTGAGTTCAGCTCAGTTGTGAAATGGTTCAGTGTAGACTGGCTACAATGTTATTAACGTTACATGTGTTAATAATTGTTTTGGTTTCATTTGCACATTGATTCTATGAATGAGAGGAAACTTTGTAGTCCACATCTAATAATTGGGTAACCCAAACCTGTTTGTGTCCATTGAGATGTCATTGTTTTTGCTTGGAATGTTCTGCAATATGACATTAAACTTATCGATTTACATGGGGTAGCCATGTTACATGTTAGATCTATGAAGAGGCAGGCAAAGCAATAACATCTCCACTGAGACAGGTGTGTACCTTCCACCAGAAACGTTATAGTGCACCCTTAAGGCACTCGAAAATGCTGTATGCAAAAATACGGATGTATTATCTGAACTGTGTGGTCCATGTTTTTTTTGTTTTTTTGTTTTTTTTGGATGGATTTTATGCTGAAAGTCTTTTTTCACTTCCCATCAGCGTTTTTACAGATTTTTTTTTAACCAACATATGGCAGGATTTTACTACTGCTTTGCAAGCTCCTATATACATACATATCCAGTTATATTATAGTTTATATAAACAGCCCATCTGCTGTTTAAATAAGAATAGGTTAAAGCTGTTTTCTATCAAAAGCATAATTTGTACAATATAAACCAAGTATGACAAACCAACACTGTTGGTTAGTATGATTATTAAGATTATTGCTGTTATATTATATTGACAGTTTTAGTCTGAGGGTTCTTTATTTTTTCAGGATCATTTGAAATAAGCATGAATCCTTTGCAAATTTTGTTTAATGAAGAACAAAGGTTTTGCGCATATTAATTATAAACATTTATTGTGCATAAGTAATTCTGTAAATTTCCCCATCTTTGTTTTCCTTCTTTAGCTACTTTGTCTTTTCCCTACTTTTCTTCTTATTCTGATTTGTCCACCTTCTCCACCTACTCCTGACTTCTTATTGAGTCCCTTGTCTTGTGTTTTACTGTGTTGTCTCGTTTCCTCTGTATTCTGGGGACAAATTAAGATGGATGCATACGTACATGATACATCAACACCTTGATATGAAAAGGTGTTACCAAGTTTATATGCAAGGTTTTTGATGTTACCGGTTAAAATATATTGCTGACTTTTAATTCATTTTTTGTTCTGCTCTCATTTAATTTCTGTCCTAGTTAAATTCATGTTTTACATTTTAAAGAATAAAAATCTGTGATGATACTGAGTAGTTACAGAAGTGGTGATTTTGTCAGCAAAATTAGCTTCTCTACTACTATTTCTGAACGCCACAGATTATCAGACTCAAACGGTGTTTATAATGTTTTCGCAGTGGGGCACATACCAAGACAGCCAATGATACATTTCACAATTTGTAGCATTATTCTCCTTGCAGCCTAAGATCATTCCCAATGCTATATGTGGCATTTGCCAGAAGGGTAAAGAAGAGAACAAGAAGGGAAAACCTGAAGCACTCATTCACTGCTCCCAATGTGATAACAGTGGTAAGTTCTGTTTCTTTTAAAGGCAAATAAAAAAAAAAAAAAAAAAAAAAATATATATATATATATATATATATATATATATATATATATATATATATATATATATATATATATAATTATATATAAGTTTTTATTATACTTAAATTATTTTATTGCACAATTTGTGTCTGGTTGTAGAGATAATCATTCCATGGCATTTTTTCAAATTCATTATATATTAACATATCAGTTATTCATGGGTTTAACATTTGGTCTCATCTACCCTTTGCCACAGGTCACCCTTCCTGCTTAGACATGAGTGAGGAGTTGGTGAGAGTGATTCAGACCTACCACTGGCAGTGTATGGAGTGCAAAACGTGCACTGTGTGTCAACAGCCCCACCATGAGGATGAAATGATGTTCTGTGACCAGTGTGATAGGGGATACCACACTTTTTGTGTTGGAATGGACACTATACCAACTGGTAAGTTTAGTATTGGAGTCTTGCACTACGGTGTATACAATTTTGACATTTTATTTCGCTCTCTATTTCCCTTTTCTTTCAGGTCTGTGGTTATGCGAGGTCTGTGACAGAGATTTCACCACACCTAAGAAAAGAGGTGGAGCCAGAACACCAAAGAAATCCAAGTCAGCTCAAAAGTGACAAGTGGCGATGCTTTTTTGTCATAAACCTCCATCGGCCAGTTTTTATCTTTGAATAAGCTGAATTCAATCAGATTTTCTACAGTGACTGAATTTGTAAAAATCCTCATAAACCTATAGTCAGGGATTGATACATGCACTGTCTTAGGCTCTGTTTTAGTGTAGCCACTCCACTATTTATAATACGTTAAAGATTGAATTTGGTGTTAATGTCAGGTTAATTAAGAAAATTCTATGTGTCTTAATTATTACTGTTTAATAAACTGAACCACATCTTGTGTTCTGCATTGGTTTTCTAAAGTGTAAGTCTTTGTTGTGGGTATATTTTTGTTAATGTACACACCCACTTTGTGACCATTTAAAATCCTACAAATCTCTGATGGGTTTTGTCTTGAAATTACATGGCATTTCAATGTAGAGTATTAAAAAAGTACCTTTTCATATTACATGAAAATGGAGGCTCCAGGTTAAAACTTTGTAACAGTGCTAAACAATGAGTTCAATAATAGTTAAAATAACTGCGGAAAGGTTTTTGCTCTTGTTTCTAAGTATAATTTATTTTCCCCTCTTATTATGCTTATTATTTTCTTCCCTTCTGGTTATTCCTCCATTTCATGGGTTTCAGAACTATGAGGATTTAGCACTGTTGCTATAGTGATAGAAATTTAAAACTAAACATATCTTGAATGGGTAAAAGTCCTCAAAATGTTGCATATACCACGGAGCTGAAACCCATGAATTGATGCAAAACACTGGAGAGTGAGAAAAATGCTGCTAAACTAGCAGATAGGGGGCGGTACTCGCTTTTGGATCGGGTCACTCAAAGAAGAGGCTGCCATATTGCAGTGATACAGCGAGTTTGTGTCTTGGACAGATAAATATAGCATATTTTATAAAATGCTCTCTTCTTTGTCTTTTGGAGATACAGGCAAAATGAAAGAGTACCATTATACAGGTCCAGTGGAGCACCGGTTTTCTCCTTACGCGTTTAACGGAGGGTAAGTAAAGTCTTATTTACTGATTAGATAGTGAACCATTTGGCTAGCAGCTAAGTAGCTAACACTAGCTGCTCTTTATTATTCTCTCAATAAATGTTACATGGGTGTCGTTTGTAAATCAGTTTAGGACATCGTTTCGTGTATAGGTGATTATTTAATTGTTTAATATTTAACTGATCTATATTTAACACTAACGTTAACTTAACAGTTTTAATGCACAGCTTATGTTTCGGTTTCTATTGTGTGACTTCTATTGAAGTAGCTAACTTAACACATACAACTTTTTTTTAAATGACGTTTAAGTAACAAGTGCTTGCTGTTGTTGCTGTTATCTCGCAGGACTGTTTTAGCCGTGGCTGGAGAAGACTTCGCTATCGTAGCTTCAGACACCCGACTGAGTGAAGGCTACTCCATCCATAGCCGCGACTCTCCAAAGTGCTACAAGCTGTAAGCACAAGGATTTTTACCAAAAGTCTACATCTTATTCATAAAGTGTTTTAAGAAGTGTTTAAGTAACTTCGGAGCAGTGTAAATTTAGGTTAAGTGTTCTTATTCGCCTTCTGTTCATTTCCTGTACAGAACTGACACGACCGTCATTGGCTGCAGTGGTTTCCATGGTGACTGTTTGACCCTGACTAAAATTATTGATGCTAGGCTAAAGGTTTGTTTAATTCATTCTGTATGTACTTCCCATGCAGCTATGCAATATCACAGTTTATATTAATTGTACGTGTCCATTGTTAAGACCCGAGACCTGATGTAAGTAACACAGATTTTCTTTCTTTTTAGATGTACAAACACTCCAACAATAAGATGATGACATGTGGAGCCATTGCAGCCATGTTGTCCACAATCTTGTATGGCAGGCGTTTTTTCCCTTACTATGTGTACAACATCATTGGTGGATTGGATGAAGAGGGTAAGAATATCACACTATTATATCATTCTTCAGAATTTCACCAGTGGACTTTGAATAAGAAGGTTGGTTTATGTTATTGTGATGTTATAGGAAAAGGTGCAGTCTACAGCTTTGACCCTGTAGGATCTTACCAGAGAGATACATACAAAGCTGGAGGTTCAGCTAGTGCAATGTTGCAACCACTTCTTGACAACCAGGTACATTGTCCACCCATTTCTTACTTCAGCATTAATGAGTAGTAAATGTATTTTCTCTAAAATGTTGCATTCTACAGATTGGTTTCAAGAACATGGAGGGTGTCCAGCATGTTCCCCTGACAAAGGAGAAGGCCGTTCAGTTGGTCAAAGATGTTTTTATCTCAGCTGCAGAAAGAGATGTGTACACTGGAGACGCACTTCGGATCTGTGTTATCACCAAAGAGGGTGTAGATGAGCAGACAATTCCACTGAGAAAAGATTAAGTCCTGTTCCAATTGTTTTTGTTAGCTTCTGTCTCTTCACATCCTTCAGACCCATTAGTTTTCTTAAAACTGTTTTGGTCCAGAGATGGGATCAAGATTAATTCATTACAATATCTCAGCCTTTTTATTTCTACCAACGCTGTTTGTTTCCACATTTGTAATAAATTGAAACAATATATCATCCCTGTGTGATGTACTTTCAATCTCGTCTAGCTAATAGCTTGTATATGCTGTCAGTTATTGTACTATTTACTACAATATAGTATACCTTCAAATTAGTTATGATTAAAGATGGTTCTTGTTTCATATACATTACCCAATGAAATAATTTCAGACACAGTAATCTGCTGAAATTGTACATACATACACACAAAGATTCAGGATTGTGTATATAAAGTAAAACCATTCACATTTTTATGATTTTATATTACCCCCTTATATAAATAATATAATCATAAATATCTGTTATTTGTATCTGCAGTGTAGAACAATTTCACCTTTAGTCTTTTTTTGTTATTTATAAGGGGGATATTATGTTATCAAAAACATGCCTGAAGTGGTTTCAGATGTCATCCATGCATGTTTCAGTATTTAGCCAGCTCACCTGGGCCCTATTTAAACCCTCCATACAATTAACTGTAAGATTTGGTGCAATGGTCCATCCACACCATCTACAGTATCCATGCTCCTACAGAACAATTCCCAATAAATATACAAAAACATGATACAAAACTGTACACAGCAACTTAATCCTGATGTGATGTGCTCTAGTTTCATTAGTGGGATGCACGCCGATTGTGATGTCGCTCTGAAGTGCTGAAATGACACAGTAGCAAAGGGAGGGTGGACAAAAATCTAATTATAGTTTTATATATATATATGTGTGTGTGTGTGTGTGTGTATATATATATAAATAATTTAGTAAAATATCCCCTCTTCAAGCAACAAAACAAAACAAAAAAATTCTGTAAACAAAGATGTATTTATTTGATTAACAGGTTAATCAGAAAATGCTCACACTGCAATTTTTTAAACAATCGAACAAACAAAGAAACAAGTGCTGAACTCAGGCATAGTACTGCAGGTTTGCCTTCTTCTTGGCCTGGACCTCCAAGATTCCCTCCATGTAATCTTCATGGTTTAGCTCGGTTGCACCGCGGCGAAGTGCAATCATTCCAGCCTCAACGCACACTGCTTTGCACTGAGCTCCATTAAAATCATCTGTGCAGCGGGCGAGCTCCTCGTAGTTCACATCAGGGCTGACGTTCATCTTACGAGAGTGGATTTGCATGATACGAGCTCTGGCCTCTTCATTTGGCATGGGGAACTCAATCTTTCGGTCAAGACGTCCAGAACGCAGCAGCGCAGGGTCCAGAATGTCCACTCTGTTGGTGGCTGCAATAACCTAGAAACATAAAACTCATCAGTACAGCCAAAACATTTGAAGACTTGGAGGAAATCTTAATGTTGATATTAATATTAATATTAGGGCATTCCAGGGACCATTACCTTGACCTGCATATTAGGCTGAAATCCATCCAACTGGTTGAGCAACTCCAGCATGGTCCTCTGCACTTCTCTATCTCCTGCCTTTTCGCTGTCAAATCTTTTGGTGCCTATGGCATCCAGCTCATCTATGAAGATGATGGATGGGGCTTTCTCCTTGGCCAGAGCAAAGGCATCCCTCACTAGTTTGGCACCATCTCCAATGAACATCTGAACAAGCTGAGGACCTGCCAGCTTCAGGAAGGTGGCCTTGGTCTGTGCAGCACAAGCCCTAGCCAGGAGGGTCTTTCCTGTGCCAGGAGGTCCATACATCAGGACTCCTTTAGGGGGTTGAATGCCCAGGTTTTCAAACTTCTCTTTATGGTTCATAGGCAGGACAATGGCCTCTACCAGCTCCTGGATCTGCTTGTCCAGCCCTCCTATGTCGCTGTACTGCTCTGTCGGACGCTCGTCCACCTCCATGGCCTTCACTCTGGAGTCGTACTCGGTGGGTAAGGTCTCCAGGATCAGATAGGAGTCTTTGTTGACTCCTACCAGATCTCCGGGCTTGAGCTTCTCCGCATCCACCAGACCGATTACCGGTAGGAAGTATGTTTGTCGAGTCGATGTTTTAATGACGGCGCACTTTCCTTTTCTCTGAGAATCCAGATCCACATTGGCCCCATCTTCTTCTTGATCATTTGGGTCCACATCCAGAAGCTCGATCACGTTGGAAACCAGGTACGGTAGCGTTTTGTTCACCTTTATCTTCTCCGTGTTTTCCTTGATTTTGTCTTTCATCGCCTGAAGCTCGTGGGTAACTCTCAGTACTTCACTCTTCATTATCTTTATCTCACTATCGAGCAGTCGAGTACGCTGAACTATCTCTTCTGTCGACATTTTTAACACTTCTTCCCCGATTCCATCTTCCACTTCATCCCAAACTGATTTGTCACTCAGCGACGCCATCTTTGCTGTGTCTGGACTGACCCGTGACTCTGGCGGAAATAAAGGAGTGCTTCCGGAAGCTCACCCGCTCATGAGTTCCGAGAGGACCGACCATCTCCATCGACACTGAACCAATTCAGCCCGGACTTTCACGGTGCCTGGCTTATGTAAGTAGTTTAGAATTGTGCATTTAATCAAGCAATCTGCCGCAATTTCAAATTTTTTGTCATTTGCAGTTAATCTTTGCAGGCAGGGTGCAACGAATTTATATGCGCTAAAATGCTAACCTTAGCTCAGCAGCTAACCCTGGCTAACGTTAAACTGGTATCTTGTGAAATGTTTTTACTGTATTTAGTCTAAGCTTATTAAGTTTGAAATGTGTAGCTACTGTGTTTATAAACAATGCTGCATATATGCGATAATTTGTTCATACCTCTGTGTACTTGTAGGTTTTATATAGGCGGAGTTTCTGCAGATTGGGAAGTTAAGTATACTGTCGTGTTTTAAAGCGCAGCCTGCATCCATTCTCATCAGGTGATTGGCAGTGGGCACGCCTGAAGAGATGGACCAAAACAACAGTATACCCCCATTTCAGGGATTATCATCCCCGGTAATAAAAACTCTCAAATTTCAATTTAAGTTGTATACATTTTCAGTTCCATCTGCTTATGTTTCTGATTTGTTTTGATCTCTTTGCAGAATGCCATGACCCCAGTTATGCCAATGTTTAGTCCCATGATGCCCTATGGTTCAGGGTTGACACCACAGCCTGTACAAAACACAAACAGCTTGTCTATTCTGGAGGAGCAACAGCGTCAGCAGCAGCAGCAGCAGCAGCAGCAGCAGCAACAGGCACAACAGGCCAATGCAGGTACAATGTATAAATGACGTTAAGTGATTTCTTTTTATGTGAACAAAACAAATGTTTTTAATTGGCTGATATTCATATTTCAGGGCTGCCAGGAACATCAGGTCAAACTCCTCAGCTATTCCATTCTCAAGCAGTTACTGGAACAACCACCACAGCACTGCCAGGGAACACTCCCCTCTACAACACCCCACTGACGCCCATGACCCCAATCACACCAGCCACACCAGCTTCAGAGAGCTCTGGAATAGTGCCACAGCTACAGTATGTTCTCTCTTGCTTTACATTAGTGAGAGGAAAAAATATTCATGTTGCACTATATGATGTATTTGTTTAATATATTTTGTTAGAAATATTGTATCTACTGTCAATTTGGGCTGTAAACTGGATTTGAAGACCATTGCCCTTAGAGCCAGGAATGCAGAATACAATCCAAAGGTGAGGTGTGAGGCAGCAATGACTCAGTGACTTAAAATTTAAATGAAAATTAAAAAAAAAAAAAAATGTGTTTTAGCGTTTTGCTGCTGTCATTATGAGAATAAGAGAACCAAGGACCACAGCTCTCATTTTCAGCTCTGGGAAGATGGTCTGTACAGGTGCAAAGAGGTGAGCTGCGAGATTAAAACACATTTTATAAACATCTGCAAACTTTAACCTCTAATATTTGTTCTTTTGTCTCAGTGAAGAGCAGTCAAGATTAGCAGCACGTAAATATGCTCGAGTTGTTCAGAAACTTGGGTTTCCTGCAAAGTTTCTGGATTTTAAAATTCAGAACATGGTGGGTAGCTGTGATGTCAAATTTCCCATTCGACTTGAAGGATTGGTCCTTACTCACCAACAGTTTAGCAGGTAAATTATTAGAGCTTTACCCTGCACTAAACTAGTGAATATTATACCACTAGTTTGTTCAAAACTGTTCTTCTCTTTGTAGTTATGAACCTGAGCTCTTCCCTGGACTAATTTATAGAATGATCAAGCCCAGAATTGTCCTGCTTATTTTTGTTTCAGGGAAGGTTGTGCTGACAGGTAAACAGAATTCCAATCCCATTTATATAATTTTGTTCAGGATCTGGGTTAATATTCTGTTTTGATGTTTCAGGTGCAAAAGTGAGAGCGGAGATCTATGAAGCGTTTGAGAATATATATCCAATCCTCAAAGGCTTCCGGAAAACAACATAGTACTTTTATCTGCCCTCAGTGCTCTGTGGAAATTGGACTGAAATGGGGAGTTTTTATTTTTAAGTGTCAGCAGTATGTTGACATCCTTGGACTGCTGATGGGCTACAGAGGACATTTTTATCATTTTAAAGATTCAACCTCAGCCCTAATTATGTACATAATACTGTAAAGAAAATGTAAAATATCAGTGGTTAGAGAAGGAGTTCGCCATGGGCTATTTTTTATTGTAAGAAATTAATGTTTCATACATTGTATTTTTAACTATTCTTTTATTAGTTTAAAAGGTACACACATTGTTTTATTTCAAAAACCCTTATCTGGTAACACTGAATTGGAATGTTTAAGGTTAATGCTCTTAACATTTGCAATGCTCATTGTTGGAACTTTCACTGCATGTTATTGAAGAAATTCCCTTGGAGACAAATCAACTTTTAAATAAGTTCTGTAAGGTGTTTTTACTGTTTACCAATGTTTGAATTTCTGAGTTACATTTCAAATAGAGCAAATTGAGCACTTCTGAATGCAGAGAAACTGTGTTACTAAGCTGGCTTGTACCTTTAAAGTACTAAAATATCATTTTAACCAAATTGTCTTATTTTTTGTGCTCAGAGCACCAGTGTATGCTTTAGAAAAAGGGTTTTAATTATTGGATTAGGTATGTTGATGTATGAAAAATCTTTGAGCTCTTAAATATATAGCTTCACACCATTATCCCACCAAGATCACTAGTTTCAAATTTGTTATGAGTCTTTATTACATTCATCTGCTGTAAAGTCCTGCTTCCACACAAACTCTGTGGTATAATCGTCCTCACGACTGCAGCTGAGTGAACATGTGAACACTGCCACTGTCCCCCAGTCAATGCTGGCTCCTGTTGAATCCACACACAGGCTATTTAACAGCTGAGGCATCACCTGAAAGGGGGATCACAGTTAAGTGGGTTTTGCCTGATTTGTTGATACAAAGCACAGCAATTTGAAGGCAAGCTCCATTAGTTTTGATTACCTGGAATTCAAACACACGTTTTGAGCCACAGGGGCAAGGTGGGATGTCCTCATCTGAAGGTATATTTTTGGCAGATACCCACAGAGGAAGCCCCCCTCGAGTGTAGCGCACCACCTGAAAAGTGACCAACATTTAAATTGATGAATCTTTTTAGTCTCATACTTTGCACTTTACCTGGTGTGGTTCTGAAGCAATCCTCTTTTTAAATCGCTGGAAAGCCTTCATTTCTTCAGTCTCGTGCATAGCCATTTCCTCCAACTCTGTTTCCGCTAAGGCTGAAGACAAGATCAAACAGATGATATCTGGGATATCTTAAAATTTTTAGCCCTTTAAGTGCTTACAATCTGCTAATGTCTCTTCTACATTGCTCGGAATATCTTCAGTTTCCGTTTGTGGTGTTTTGGCATATTCAGCATTTTTCTCTAGATCTTCAGGTTCAGTGACGAGCTCAAACTCAGGGAAGAGAAAAGGACATTTGCCAACACTTGCTGATTCTGTGTGGATAAAAACAACGGTTAATCTTTTTACCAAAAACATTGTGGTGCAGAGTCTAATTTCACCTTGGCTGCCACACTCCCTCTTGTGTGAGTGTTTCCAGTGGATGGTCTGATGATGTTTGCCGCAGTAAGTGACGGAGTGACAGCGAGAGCAGGCTTTGGTGCCCGGACAACCACAAATCCAGCACAGTTTAACTCCGGAGAACAGCAGTATATTGTGTCCTTCGTATGGTTCAGAAGGGGGTTCATCCTCTGAGGAAAGAACGAGTAGATATGTGTTTTACCTCAGTGTGTGTGAATGAAAAACTGTCACATTTATAACATTAGATTTAAATGATTCACAGAGTACCTGGTGGAGGGTTATAGGAATAGAATTCATTCTTTCGTGGTATTTGGCTTCTGAAAACTATAATTGTTGGAAGGAAAAAAATATTTAATAAAATGAATTCACTACTATAGTGCATTTGCAGAGAAATGAAGATAGAGCATAGGCTACCTTTCATACACCGGCTGTCGTTACGGGAGTAGCACTCAGGGGTTTTGCAGCAAAACAAGAAGAGTGTTCTGTGAAAACAGTGTTCCTGGTCTGATAAAGGTGCATAAACCTGGAAGAGAAAAAAGGAAAGTTGTCAGGAAGAAAAACAAGTGGTATCAATTGTGGCTACCTGGCTCACACACTGAGCACTTTTTGAAACTTAGTCTTTTTGAGTTCAGTTCTTAACATCACATCATGGGATTTTAACCAATCAAGAAGTTCAAAGTTGTGCACATGGAGTTCAAAGGACATAAGTAAAGGGCTGCTGGATTTTGTGAAATGAAGCTGTTTGTTTATCCAGTATCCATGGAGACTGTGCAAGAGGCTAGCTGAGGAGCTAGCTGTGGGCATTTGAGATGCTACAGAATTTCTGCACAATATGTGGCAGCAAATGTGGTACACTACTTGAATGAACCATTTCATCACCAGCTGAAACGCCAGTGGAATACGACTGAGGCCTTTCCTGATGTGTTCACCTGGTTCAACCCTCGACACTGTTGTGAAAAAAAAAAAAGAACGTTGTGCCTAAACCTTGGACTAAATCAAAACTATCCAGGACAAGCTCTGTAAAAGGCTCAAAGCACCCCTCGCCCCATCAGTGTGGCGCGACTCACTTACTTGAAGCAGAAAAACCATTTGCAGATGACATATTTCGCACTCTAGCTGGGACAGAGCAGGGACACCTTTCTGGCTCAACCACGCGGGTTTTCCACCTACTTTACTGGGGAACTGGGGGGAAAGCAGCCGCCAAGGCTCTACCTCCTCCAGGAAACCCAGTATAACCTCTACTGTTGACATGCTGTCACTTGATTTTTTTCTGGTAGAAATGTCGAATACAGAACACAAACATAACAAGCCGCATGTATAATTTGTGCTCAAGCAATACTCCCCGGTCAGAAACACAAACAGTCGATTTTTGTTCCGTGGTCGAGGATTGTTTTGCACATCTCATGTTTCGACACCAGAGGACGACAAAGCCATGGACAAAGTCAACAGCTGTAACTGCATCCCATCTACCATATGTCTAGGATTTGTATATCTAACCCTCAGACAAATAAATGCACACTTGTAGTAAGTATAGCCTACAGCATAGGAGCAAGGTGAATTATCTATATTTGGTATGAATCACATACTATAATATATAGTTTAAATATCATGATATAAAAACCATTATTGAAAGCTTCCACCTCCCTCCTCCCCTCAGTATCCTGCACGGTGACCTCATGTAGGGGAGTTTCAGAAGACAGTCCGGTCAGTTCAGTGGACTATGGGACACCGTAAGTGTAAAATGTCTTTAACTTGTTTTCAAGTAGCCTACTGACTCAACCTTTTCTACTCAAATTAGGCTACTA